TATTCTATGTCGATATTCTTAGTATCTATATATCTATCAGCTATAGTTCCACTATTACCTTATTTAGTATATCATATATATCATATAGGTCTATATCATCTATATCATATATATCATATATATCATATATATATATATGTATGTTATGTATGTATTGTTCGTCTCTTGTAGAGAGGGTGGCCCGAACGGATCAATGAGTTTCGGCATTTGCTGCAGACATCGCGTCCCAGAAAGAAGAGTTTTTATGCTCCTCAGACGAAGTTCTTCTACGCCAACAGTTACTCGTAAGTTTTTACACGTGAATGTAGACATTGAAAACTTTGTTTTCTATCCCGGCAGTATCAGTATTGACAATTACCTTTTTATAATCTTTTGGAACAATGTGCTCGGTTATTACACACACTACGCTGTATCAATAACTTCGCTACTTAATTAGGTTAAGTCAATAAGAGAAGAATTAGCACGAATAATGTCATACTGCTGGTCAGTAATACCTGCTTAAGAGATGATCTCATTTCGGCCCTGCATTTATTAGCATTTACGCTCATTCTTTATAACTAGCAATAGAAATAGGACTTCTCCACCCAGTTAAGTCTACAGGCAACACCTAATACCAGTACACTGTTATATGCCAAAAGCAACACCAACATTCTAGGTGACTGAAACAATCATAACTAATGCCACTTTTCCTTGTTGTCCCATTCAGTATAGTTATCTCTGAGATCTGCTACCTGATATATTGAGAAAGTCGGAAACGGTGTTTTTGGTTGTTAATTAGTGACGTTTTACACGCACGCACACAATTTTTTCTGGCGATGGGATAGTTGATATCCAGGTGCATTTATACGTACACAGTATGGTTTCACACTAAGCTCGATTCATAGTTGGCACTCTAGTGTAAGTAAGGTGTCTGCTTATCGGCGTGTGTCGATGATGAATACGTCATCGTCCTCTCTCTGCCCTCCTGAATGTCGGGCAGCTTGACCGCTGTGTGTTGCGGTTGTGAGCTTGCGGCCAAGCGATCTCGCATTGCACTCCTCGCCGACGGTGTCCAGATGACGATTCGCTCTCTTGACCGCAATCGTGCGGCGTTGGCAACTCGTGTTTAGTGCGCGCGCTCTGTGGGCCGTTCAGCTGCACTCCCGTCTGCTGGAGTCGTAGGCGCAGAAGCTGCGTTCTCGCTGCGACGCGCCTGTCGCATTACGGCTCGCCCTGCGATGTAGCTCGCGCCTTCCTGCTGCCGATCGAGCCGCCCGCCGCGCGCGGACGCGACGCATCCGCTGCGCCGCAGGTATGCACGCGATCTCGTATCGCACATGTATGCGCTTTGCGCAAGCCGCTGCTGTCTCGACCGTGTCGCCTGCCGCAGCGGTGTTCCGGGCCGTTCGTGCCGTCGCCTTGCCGCCGTCGTCGCGAAGACGTCCCGCGAACGGCGTCGGCGTCATATGCCGGTCCGCCTGATGATGTCGGCGTACTCGTTCGAAGATGTTCGGTAGTCGTCATTCCGCGCGTGCCGTCGCGAGTGTCTCGTATCGTCTCCGTCGTATTCGATATCGTGAGTCGTAGAGATCTTGCTAGGGCGACTCCGTCCGGCGCGGCTCTTGGCTGGTCGCGTGTCGCTTCTGTGGTCGGTACGCTCGTTCGTGGCGCTCCGTGTTGTTTATTGTCGGCGTCTCGCCGGCCGTAGAGCAGTCTCGATCTGCTGGATGTGTTCTCGCGCTGAGCGTGCTGCGCGAGGTAGCTCCGGCGCTGTATCGAATTTGTTGCTGGTCGCTTGCACACGACCCGTCGTCTTGTTGTCGGTTATCGAATCGATCGCTCTCACGTGCGTCTCTGCATTCCAGTCGTCAGGGAGCGGCGCGAAGCGCATGGGTTTTTGGTGATCGCAGCGCCATCGGTCCTTTCTTGCCGGGGGCGGAGTCGCATGGGGCGCGGTTGGCAACCGGCCGCCGCAGGGGTCGCGCGGCAAGTCAATATATCGCGCAGCGGTGTCGGCGAAAGGTCTTTGAGCGCGCGAGCTCGCTTGCACTGGTCGTTGATGCGACGCGTTGGCTGTCGGTGAGGTACTGCGCGCGCGGTGAGCGCGGTGCTGTGGGCTGCCGCGAAGCTCGAGCCGCTGCAGCCGCGCAGCGTCGCGAAGCATCCCGTTGCCGACGGCGACCGCACCGCGCGTCGCGACGTCGTTGAGACGCAGCGACTCGAGTCGCGCGAGCCCGCTGAGCGCGGCGCCCTCTAGGACGGCGAGCGGCGCATGCGAGAGGTCGAGCGCTCGCAGGTTGGGCAGGTGGGCGAAGGCGTGCGCGGGCAGCCGCGTGATGTTGTTGCGGCTGAGGCCGAGGTCAGTGAGGTTGGACGGGCCGAGGAAGCTGCGCACGCTCAGCCTCGTGATCCAGTTGTCGTCGAGATAGAGATACTGTAACATCATAAACAGCGGCGTGTATGTGTGCGTGCGTGCGCATGGCGTGCGTGCGTGCGTGTGCGTGGGTGGGTGCGCGTGTGCGTGTGTGTGCGTGTGGAAGGGGGTGGAGTCATTCTTTATCTTCAAAGACCGTGTACAATAAGACGAAACACGCGCTACGCTTGCTACGTTAATTTTGTGTCCCACGCGCAACACTATCGCCTATCAAGGGCGAGTTACTATCTCCAAGTTACCAGCCAACAACAGTAGAATGTTGCAGGTGTGGTGGTCACTCGTTATCAATAACGTTTTCTCTCGTGATTGGGCAGATTTACGCCGTAGTTGCTGCGCTTCTCTTGAAGGAACATCAATTACCACAATTTCATAAGAGAATACAATTTTACCATATGATAACTAGTCATACAAATTGCAGGGGGCTAGAGGGGGTTTGGCTTTTCTTGTGACGTATAGATAACTAAAATATACCTTTAGGACTAATGCCGATTAATGCCTTATGCAATATGAAAATCTTTTGCTGGTAGCCAATTAGCAAGAAGGGCTATTTCTTACTCACATGCTTACTGTTAATACTAGTATTAATATTGCTACCTTGAGGGCAGTGTAGTTCTGGAGAATGCTTGGTGGAATATCCATGATGTTGTTCTGCTGTAAGTGTAGAAAGGTCAGCGTGCCTGACAGGCCACTTGGGATTTGCAACAGCATATTGTTGTCTATCCACAACCTGCCGTGCAAAAACAGCGCTTACATTTGCCAAACTGTGCGTATATTATACACTAGCAGTTATATTCTCTCTTGACCAGCTTCTCTCTCAAGCCAAATTCTCTTTCAAGTAGCTCCTCCCGCCCCACCCTGTGATTCCCCTCTCCAGCTCGCTCCTCCCGTCAGTCTTACCCCTGCTTCTCTCTGCCTCTCAGATTCTCTCTCGGGTAGCTCCCCCCCCCCGTGATTCCCCCTCCGGCTCATGTATGCAGCTAGCTTCAAGCTTCAAGCCGGCTCCTCTCCCTCCCCTGTGACTCCCCCTCCGGCTCGCTCCCGCCCGACCCCCTGACTCCCCCTCCGGCTCGCTCCTCCCCGTGTCTCACCGCTTATGTATGTATGTATGTATGTATGTATGTATGTGCCTGTCTCTTGTAGAGAGGTGTGGCCCGAGGATAATGAGTTTGGTGCTGCAGACATCGGTCCAGAAGAAGAGTTTATGGCTCTCAGAGAAGTTTTCTACGCCAACATACCTCGTAAGTTTTTTACACGTGAATGTAGACATTGAAAACATTGTTTATCCCGGCATTTGCATATTGACAATACCTTTTTATATCGTTTGGAACAATGTGTGGTTATTACAACACACTGTATCAATTAACCGTACTGTAATTAGTTAAGTCAATAAGAGAAGAATTACACAATAATGTCATACTCGGTCAGTAATACCTCTTAAGAATTGATGTCATTTCGGCTGCATTTTATTAGCATTACCTCATTCTTATAACTAGCAATAAGAATAGGATTCTCCACCCAGTAATCACAGCAACCTAATACATAACGTATATGCAAGCAACACCAACATTTAGGTGACTGAAACAATCATATATGCCACTTTTCCTTTTTTCCGATTCAGTATAGTTATCTCTGAGATCGGTACATATATATTGAGAAAGTGGGAACTTTTTATAGTTACGTTTACACGCACGCACACAAATTTTTTCTGGCATGGGATAGTTGATATATGTGCATTTATACGTACACAGGTATGGTTTCACACAAGCTCGATTATAGTGACCTATAGTGTAAGTAAGTGTCTCTTATCGGGTGTGTCGATGAATACGTCATCGTCCTCCTCTCCCTCCTGAATGTCCGGCAGCTGACCGCTGTGTGTTGCTGTACTCCCAAGCGACTCTGCATTGCACTCCCGCGACGGCAGATGACCGTTGCTCTCTGCCGAATCGGCGGGTGGAACTCGTGTTAGTGGCGCGCTCTGTGGGCCGTTCAGCTGCACCTCCACGCCGCGCGAGTCGCAGAAGCTCGTCTCGCTGGAGCGCTGTCCGGCGTCTCGGCTCGCCCGCGCTGTAGCTCGCCGCCTCCTGCTGCACAGCGCCGCCGCGGCGCACGCGACGACCGCGCCGCCGAGGATGCACGCGATCGGTATCCACATGATGCGCTTGCGCAAGCCGCTGCTCGACGGCGCCGCAGCGGCCGGGCGTCGCGTCGCTGCCGCGTCGTCCGCGAAGACGTCCGCGAAGGCGTCGGCGTCTGCGTCCGCGAAGATGTCGGCGTACTCGTCGAAGATGTTTGGGTAGTCGTACCCGCGCGTGCCGCCGGATGTCTCGTCATCGTCTCCGTCGTATTCGATATCGTAGTCGTAGAGATCGGCGGGCGACTCCGTCCGGGCGGGCGGTCGCGTCGCTTCGTGCGGGTACGCGTAGGTGGCGCTCTCGTTGTCGTTGTCGGCGCTCGCCGCGAGCAGTTCGTCGCGGGAGAGCTCGGCGAGCGGGCGGCCGAGGAGCTCCGGCGGGGTCGCGCACACGACCCCGTCGTCGTTGTCGTCGAACGTCGTCTCACGTGCGTCTCGCATCCAGTCGAGGAGCGGCGCGAGCGCGGTGTCGCAGCGCCACGGGTTGCCGGCGAGGCGGAGGCGCAGGAGGCGCGGCAACCGCCGCCGCACGCGAGTCTAAGCTCACCCATGTCTCACCGCGTGACTTCGCACTCCGGCTGCCGCTTCTCTGCCTCAGTGTCTGCACCGCGTGAACTCCCCCTCCGGCTCGCTTGCCTCCCCACGAGTGTCTCACCCCCGCCCTCTGACTCCCGCCTCCGCTTCGCTCCTCCCGTTTGGGGTCTCAACCCCCCCGCTGACGATCGCCGCCTGCCGGCCGCTCCTTCCCGTGTCTCAACCCCTCGACTCCCCCTCCGCTCGCTCGCTCCCTCAATGTCACCAAGCCGGACCTGCTCACCGTCCGGCTCACTCCTCCCCATGGTCACACCTCCGTGACTCCGCCGCTGCCGCGGCCACTCCTCCCATGTCAGCACCTCAACCTGACTCCCTCGGCGTCACTCCTCCCCGAATTCACACTCCCGCCACTGACCCCGCGCGTGCGGCTCACGTCTCTCTCCGCATGTCACGAACCCGCCCTGACTGCCCCCTCTGGCTCACTCCTTCCCCGTGTCTTCACCGGTGACTCCGCCCTCCCGGCCCGACGGCATCGCTGCCCGGGGCCCGTCGTCGCGGATGACCCGCGAGTGACTCCGCGGGCCGATAGGGCGCGCGCGCGGCTCTCCCCGTGTCTCCGCCCCCTGACTCCGCCCTCCGCGTCGCTCGCCCCCGAATCTCACCCCGCGCTAGACTCCCACTCTCCACGCTCGCTCCTCTTTCGCAGGCCGCCGTGTCCTCAACGCCCCCCTGACCCCCCTGCCGGCTCCCGTTCCTCCGCCATGTCATCACCCCCCCTGTACTGCCCCCTCCGGCTTCGCTCCTCCCCGTATCTCCACGCTCTGCAGGTGCCTGTCTGTTTCGCGCCTGAACTCTCCCCTCTGACGACGTCGACGACTGCGGTTCGATGGGATCAAGCATGTACCAGGGACCGACAGCGGCGCCGCCAGCGCGCGCCAGCTCGCCCGCCGAGCATACGCGCGACGATCGCGTCTCAGTCCCGCGCGCGCGGGACGTCCGCACAGCCGGCATCGGGCCCGCCCGGAGCGGCTCACACAGGTGGCCGCGGCGAGGCGTCGAGGAAACTCGACGCGCGTCGCTGCGACTCGCAGCGCTCTGCAGCGGGTGTTCCGGCGAGCTAACCAGGCTGGCCGCAGGCGCGCATGCCGGCGAACCCGTCCGCCGTACCGCGGCGACACTGACATGTCGCGAGCACGAGGAGACTTACGGATGGCCAGGTCGCGCGGTACCGAAGGTCGCGCGCCGGATTTTCCCTGAACGCGAGCAGATTATTAGTTATTAGCGGAAATAAATTCAACTGATAACAAGCAGTTAGTAATAGGAAGAGGACAATAAGTGGAGCAGAGAAGGTATAGGATTATATGGTAATAAACTAGAAAACGACAGTTGTCGCCACTACATGTAGGGTGCCACGCACGAGTGATACATAGTATGGAGTGGGAATAGCTGGACTGTGAAGGAGGGACGTAGAGGAGGGCGGAGGTAAAAAGAGGTTAAATAATGTCACAAAGAAAAAACGGTTTGTTGACAAGCTGGTTCGTGGGCGTCGAGAGGGTGTCAAGTAATAATGGAAATGCTGCGTTACGCACTAGAAAGGCCGAAGAGGAATCGTTAAGTCGACCGGTAAAGGGTCAACTAAGGTCAAGTGGCAGGTGTGCATTCTTGTTATGCGACAGACTTTCCCCCAGATGTGTAAGCATCACCATAGTTTGGTCACGCTAGGGAATTAGGGGCTGAGTGTAGAGAGCGGAAGGGAAATAAGATCATAGGTCAAAGGTAAAGGTGAAATAAAGGTCGCAGTGACGCTGTGGGCAGTTTTTACGCACGATCGTTCGATAGATTCTCAATTTTGCATGAAGGTGGCGTGTATCGCGGTAAAGCGCGAAGGGACGCGCAATCGTTTTCGGGTGTGGGCGAGAGTATCGGTTGGGCCATGTACACAACATTTTGTTGGAAAATATTGAGAACCTGTAACTTGTGCTGTTCTTAACCCGATTGTCATGGAAGAGTTTGCAGCACCAGGGCCGATATACAATGTGCCTATATATTATATATGTATATATATATATTATATGACAATC